TTTTTTTTTTTTATTATCCCACACAGATAATGTATTGGATAAACTGACTAATAGATGTGGCAATCAATTAGCGATTTTCTCAGAAAATTGTGATCCCAGCCGTCTAAATACATTAATTTTATTCTTGGTTTTTAGATGAAAGCAATTCATTGGCTGTATTTCTTCCAATGGACATTATTGGTAAGATTTCAATTTGGTTTTGTAATTGAAAAAAGTGAAATGGTGACGCCTGTTGACATTTTTTGCATTTTATTGTTTCATACATAATCTGATTATTTTGTCTTTTTTTTTTTGTTTGTTTTTCTTTTTTTTTCATTATTTGACATATAATCAGGTTTTCTGAATTTATTCATAGAGCAGGCATTTGTATATACCACGAGGAATAACGTGTGTATATTTTGCTGTGCTGGTGTAGTTTCCTTCATTGTACAATATGCATGTCCTTAAAATCTTATCGTATAACCACAAATTACGTATGTTTACTCAGGGTGATTAGATACAAATATTTTCTTGCAAATGTAAATTTTTTTGTTCTGTTATCAAAGGTTTTTAATTTTACTTTGGTGAGTTAAACCAATGGTAAAAAATTTTTGAACTATACAAAATTTTTTGTGTTTTGTAAGCCTGTTTGCCTGTTTGGCACATTCTGTTTAGTTTATGTTTTAAAGAGAAAAACTAATGTTATCTGTTTCCAATTGTGCTGGTAATGTTTTTCACTTTATTGTTAATAATTGATGTCCATTGAACTATTAATTTACTCAGAGCAATGCTCACAAACTGCAGCTGAATATTTTTGCTATTTGAAAAAAATGGTCTTGATCCCAAACTGACATATTAATTAGAGTCGGTATTATAGAAAGTAAGGATTTTTACGCAGTTTTAGGAATGCCTCAGAAATTGCTGCTTTATTAACTTTTATTTTTGAGTGTATTCATCTTTGTAAAGTCGCTAGATTTAAAATTTTATTCAATTTATTATATAGAACCATTATATTTGCACCAAATTTATTTATTTATTCTTTTTACCAAATTGAGGCTTTGCTAACATGAAATAAGTGATAACTTGTAGAGATGTTGGAAATGTTGAACTGGTTAAAGGTTTAAAAAGTGAATGAAATATTGTGAAACAACTAATTTCGTGTATAGAAAATTACGCTAATGGAAACTATGAATTTCTGTTCTCAAACTTGGGCATAGTCTTTTCCACTGTTTGCGTATGAACGTTGTTGCAGATTGGTGAGTCAATACATGCGATGTTGACTTTTTGATGTCGGGGTAATTTATTTGGTTACCTGGTAGTCTAGTGGCGAAATTTATTCTTATTGTGGTTTTTCGGCTACGATTTTTAACATTTTCATAAGATTTTATTCTTTTTGGCAGTTATTTTGCAATCTGATATGGCCTTTGTTCTTGCAAATTTTATTACTGCATGTTTAACGTAGTATTAGTGTATATTGCTATCATAGTGAATTTGCTCGTATAGAAGCTTGTAAATACTTTTTACTTTTACACACGTTATTAATGACTGCTTTTCAGGGCTTCAGATTCTTTTTTTTCCAGCTTATCTGTTGGATGTGATACATTATGTGGTCTCTGTAGTATCCAGTAGCTCAAGTTTATTTAAGCATGAGGGATCGGTTAGCCGAACTGCAGCAGGTATTTTGTAGGATAAGATTGTATGACTACTAAATTGCAAAAAGTGATTTTAATTAAGTAGTTCCATTGGAAGCAGACTTTATTTATGCATCAATCTTATGGGCTTATTTTTTCCTGGTGTTCTTACTACCATATAGTTTATCTAAATACTCATACAGTTTTTGCCGTTGTCAAGTGTTTTTTATGTTTGGGCATCTGATGTAAATGATTTCATAGCAATTACCTGTTCTTAAAGTAGCACTGTCTAGAATTCCCCTCGTCATTTGCCTTATTCTTTTTAAACTGTCTCTAATCTTCAGAAGTCGAAAAATTTGACACTTTCTGAACATCATGAAAGACTGTTGGAGGAAGCTTACCGTGATTCAGCGGAAGAGCCGTTGTTATTTTCAACAGATCATTGGAACAATGTGGAAACAGTATGCTTTAGTAGTCGTTATTGGATCTTTTTTGGATTTTCACGGTAGTTTTCATGGTATTAATTGTCTTGAAATACATTCCTTTCAGTTCCTCTCCCGTGTAAATGGTATCTTAAATGAATTACGGGAGATGGAATCGTTACTTGGAGAAATAAAAATTAAGCACTCACAAATTTTGATTGAGCCTGGAGTTCACCCAAGTATGATATTTTGCATCAAGTGCTTTTTTTTTTCATTGGAATGATAGCTGTTTTTTTGTTAACCGTCCACTTTTTAGAGTTTACCCAGGACTTGAATGCAGCCACTGAAGCCTTCAAAGTGAAGTCTTATTCAACACAAGCTGCAGTTAGACGTAAGCATAGCTTCATTTTCATTTTCTGACCCGCTGTTGGCATATCCGTCTACTATAATTTTTGCGAGCTTTGTATATGTACCTTATTATTTTTTGCAAATTATGTGCAATAATTAGTGTAAGTGCTTGTTTCCACTATTTTCTTTTTTGAAAGAAAACTTCTTATTTTTTATAGAAATGAATGAGGAGGTTGACAAGTTAAAAAAAGATCCGAACTCTGATGCTGTGGAAGGGGTGGACGCTCGCATCAAGAGGGATCAGGTGCTTTTTCTTTAAGCATAGTAAATTGAGAATTACTTAATTTAGTTTTCCGGTCATTTGCCTTATTGAGTGTTTTATTTGTTGTGGTCGGTTTTTGAGGCTTTTTGTTTTTTGATGAAAAGCGACCAAACATTTGTGGTTTTTCCTTGCAACTGACTGTAAAGATGCTTTTAGGTTATGGCATTAACAAGGAAATTTCAAAACGTTCTCCTCTCCTTCAATGATGAGCAGTTGACGTACAAAGAAAAGTGCAAACAAAAGATCTCGTCATACCTTGCTTTATGTAATTATTTTTATAAATTATTACGACATAAAAAAATTTGAGTAAGAGAATGCTTTTAATTGGGCTGAGTGCTTATTTAACTTTTTTTTTGTGCATCGGTTTTTTATTGTCATTTAGGCCTTATACAACCTTTTTAAGGGCTGAAAAGTATCATTTTTTCTTCTGAGTGTCCGGTAAGTGTGTTGCATTTTTTGAATACAGTGAAACTTTGTAATCGTCTTTAGACATAAATTTAATTTTTTACCTTTTAATCATAGTTGCATTATTTACTGGAATTTTATTGTTCGTAGCTTATTTTAGGATTGCAGTGTGACTCATGTATTTATTTTTTTATTTCTTTCTTGTTATTGACTTCCTCTCTTCTGGTATTTTCTGTTGTAACGGGTTGTGATTCACAAAAGGTGTAGTGACTAGTGAAGTTTTTTTAGCAGGGCAAAAAATTTCAAATGAAGACATTGATAAAGCCATTGAAGATGGACAGTTATTCGATTACACCAAAGGAGTATGTTCAGTGTTTTCTTTTTTTCTTTTTTATTCAATTAAAAAATTTCCTTTTATTTTAACTTTACCACTAGAGTCTCTTACAGCTTATTCTTGCTCAACGTGACAAGAAAGCTTTATACGATGAGGTGAAAAGTCGGCATGATGATATTCTTCGTTTAGAGGCAAGCATAATGGAATTGCATGACTTGTTCCAAGATATGTCTTTACTGCTTGAAAGCCAGGTAATTTTTAAGAATGTTTCTACGAATTTTTATCATCAAACTGTCTTTATTTTGTTGTTTTCTAGGGTGAAATGTTGAATCACATAGAAAGGAATGTTGAAAGCGCCGCAGATTGCGCAACCAAGGCGTTCACTAACGTAAAGCAAGCGAGACATTTACAAAAAAGTAAACGTAAGGTAAGTTTAACTGTAGACTAAACTGTGAAGTTAAATATCTTTAGTCAACAATTTAAAATCCTTTTAAAATGTTGATTACCAGTCATGGAAATCGATTTTTTGCAGTACTTTCAGCATTACTTTTCTTCAAGAATTTTCAACCATTTAGACTTTCTTATTGTAGATTTCCAATCATTTTTTTTTTCAGATGAAAATCATCTTGGTAATTGTGGTCATAGTTGCTGTTCTTATACTTTTCGCTGTTTTATCAGCACTTTTTTGTAGCTTTTTCCCATTTTTATGTCGGTGAGGGCGTTTTGGACAAAGTGCTATTATTTTAAATGCTTATTATATTAACTAACAAGTTTGCTTTTTTCAATTATTCAGATGCTATTTAATCTGAAACTGGAAGAAAACTGTTTTGACGCTTTTCGAAGCCCTGTTTAGTTTTATAAAACTTGCTTACCCACTAAACTTTTGTTTGGTTCAAAAAAATATAATTTTTTAACTCGTTTCGTTTGACGGTTACTTTTTAGGAGATTTTTGTCAATTAAGCTGTAAAAATATGAAAGTTTTTAGATTTCAATTTGATATGTTTATAGTCGTTTATGTTGTTTATTCTTTGATAGTTCAACGCTCCTGGCCCTATAATGATTCTGCTCTTCACGTCTATTAATTGAGCAGATTGACTTCGTTGTATTATCTTTATGTTATAAGCGTATTTAAATTTTTGTCTCAAGCTGCCTCTGTCTCATTAACATTGAAGTTCAATAACGTAAGCATTTTCAATGTGTAAATGACGAAGTCTTTTTCAAGGCCAAGAGTGTTACATAATAACTTTGCTTCAAAACAAATTATCAATTAATTGGAAAAGTAAAGTTTTGCATTTCTTTACGTATTTGTTTGGTGCTATGAAATTTTCCTCTTTCTTCACGAGGTTTTTCAAGCTGGTCTTTCATTGGAACTGTTATTGTTGTTCGTTTACACTTTGATGCAAAGAATTAATTGACAGAGGAGAGTAGGTAGAAATATACTGTCTTCAAGTCAGCATCGGCCTTTAATAGCTGTAAATCTCATCATTAGTTTCTTTTGCCTATTGATGAACAGGGTATGTAATTTGTTTCCTTTTATAAAGTTAGGCACTAGAGCAGGTCTTATTCATTTATTCATTTTTCTAACCCGATTTTTACTGTGAAACCACTCTCTACTGCTGTGCTGTTTTTATTGAATTCCTTTTTACTTTACTCGTTATATGGTTGCTCAAATAGAACATATCTGGAATTAACTAGTGGCCTTTTTGTGCTTTTTTAATGGCACTACTTTATATTCTTGTAAAATATTTCAAGTGCAACATCATCTGTTGTATCAGATATTTTTTGGTTTCGAGTTTGTAAGATGTCATGTAGTATTTATTGTAATTCTTATCTGTAAAGTTAGCTCGTGACGAATGATAAAGGGCTTTTTTGTATTTTTGACAAGATTTATCTATTTCCAGTTTTGCGCAGGGCAGCTCGTGATAGATTTTTTCTTACTTCTGTTGAGTTTTCACAAAGGTTCTTCGCCGGAGGCATGTGCTTTCTAATTTCTATTTTCTTAAGGGTCTGGTTGACAAGGGTTACTGAATTGTTTATAGGGTTTCACTTCTAAATTTGAGCGTTCTTTGTAATTGAATTATTCTAGGCTGGTTTGACGTTTTTGGAATGCGTTAATCTATGTTTAAATTACTTTACGAGAGGCAAGGTTGTTTAGGTTCTATATTTGCAAAGCCATTGGACGAACTGTGGAGAAGGGAAATTAAATAAAATCGTACAAATTTCACAGGCTTCTACTTTTCTCTCTTCACGGGCTACCTACTAGTTCTTTCGTTATTAGGCTCAAGATTGTTCTTTGTTCTACAGACTTTTTATTCGAGTTTAAATGGGATCTCTCATTTGGTAGGAAAGAGAGCTCCTATAAAGTAGCAGTTTGGTGAAGAAATTTTTTTTTTTTTGTCGATACTTTGCGCAAGGTGGTTTCTGTTTGTTATATAGTGGGGCATCTCTTTTTGTCAGCGGCTGGGGCAGTTATCGGAACAGTTTTTGAACTAGACAGATATGTAGAACTTGCATTGGTGAAGCAGCATTGCTTAGAACGTATTTTCAAGCTTGCCAGCTTTTCACCAGTTACGCTCCACCAAAGTTTGAGAACTTTCCTGGATGATACAAAGTCTGTTTGAAAAATTACAAGTTTTTCATTTGTACATAGAACTAGGACACATTCGGACACTTATAAAAACCAGTACTTCTTCGTTGCACAACAGCATGCAAGTTACGAAAGTTTTAGCAAGAAAAATTTGAAACTCCTGATAACATAGATTTCACAAGTGATTATGAAGAGAAAACTAGCATTAAACCTTTTTAAGAAAGAGATTTTGGTTGAAGTTTTTTACTATAAAAAAAATTAATTTAGAAGTAAGTTTTCTGTGAGATCAAAAGCTACGTTTTTCAGCAATATTCATTTACAGGATCAAAATTGGCTTATACTGCATTCAAGTTTTGGTCTCAGCCGAACGGATGTAAGAACTGTTCTCACTCGCCTTTCAGAAAACGGTATGCGGTGTAGCATCTACATACCAAAAATGGTCGCTTTTTTGCAAATATGCGTGTACAAAGTTGCTTTGAGTCATTTCCAAGGGCCTTAGTTCGTGTTCGTCAGCTAATAACCATACACTACTCCTTCATGTTTAGAAGTCACGAACAAGTTCATAGTCATTAACCTCTGATGAGAACGTTCAACATATTCTATAAAAGCAATTGATTCATCCACTAATTCTGACAATTTACCGTCGTAACCATAGTATATTTTGCGTAATGGAAAACGAAAACTTGTCTTTTGAAAGATTTCTATATTTAAAGCTTCAGCGACAGTAACATTCAAAATTAGGTGAAATTGGCATTTGCTTTGTTTTTATAACTTGTTCTCAGCTGCTAACGCTGTTGCCAAACCGAGCGGCACCAAGAACTGTTGTTGAAGCTAAAAAGTGAATCTTTTCAAAACATCTACGTAAATCTTTTAGAAATTCTTTCCAGTCAATTAATGAATTAAATGAGTTTCTGACATATTTTTTCGGAATTTATGACTGGATTTCACTTCATTACCTTTTTTCTTTGACAGCAACTGCTTCAAAATGCTCTGCTCCGCTGTTAGTTCTTTGTCTTTCCTTGGATAACTAAAAAATTGATTTTTATTAGGCTCTTTCACTCGTCATAAGAGTTTTAGATTTGTGGTACAGAACGCTGAAAAGTGCGAAAAAAGTTTGTATAAATGCGACGCCAGGCAGTTTTAGTTGTTCTTGGAGATTCCATTTACACAACTACAACATTTCTGGCTGCCGAAGATTGCCAAGGATATTCAGCAAAGCTTGAAAATCAAATTCAGACAAACCAACCCTGTAGTGTGTAAAAGCACGATAAACTGCAGCTGTTCTGTCCATGGATTACTAAATGGTTGCCAAATGCAGCTGCACATCACCGACTCCTCAGATGCGGCCCGTAGCCGGTAACTTGCTTGTCGAGATTCCATAGTTCTTAGTACTTAAACGAAATTTCGTTGTCTGGTTAGAGATTTGAGGCTTTAGGATGTGTTTACAGTTTAGGGGCTTTTGTTTCTTTTTCCTCAGTTAGTAATAGTTCTGTGTTTTCTTGACCATTGTTTCAATGCAAAAAGACGATTTCGATTGCTTTAATAATAGGAGTTACTAAACAGGATGATATGAATTAGTTGCCTTGTTTATGATGTCGTGAAACATCGATGAGATCACCTTCATTTACCAGATCATAATAACTTATGGCTAATAATTCATTTGGGAGATATCCTAACGCAGATGAGACTCTGAAAGTTTCTTAGTAAAATACTAATTATTGGTTTCAACTGAATCTAACAAAGATTCAATTTGTGTTTTAAACTCTTTACTGGCTCTGAATCCAACATATTCGTAAATATCGTGTTACAAAAATTTTAAAGGAAGTTTAACTTGACAAAACTCCGATAAGGAAAAAATATTCCAAAAGAAACTAACTCATCATCACAAAAGAAGATCCTTCCATTAGGCCAGATCCTCATTTGAAAGCTCTGATCGGCATCTGAGCGTTTGATATTTGAAAAATTTGCGGATAAGTGACTAGCAAGTTTGCAACAAAAAAGTAGACAAAGAGGCAAGCGAATTTAAAGTTATAGTGAGAAGCATTTTCCCAAGAATACCAACAAGTATCATCAAACCCGTAACTTATTCACAACTTACAAAATCGTTCATCGCATTTGACGACTAACAATACTGCTCTGAGCGACTTTCCTTCCCGTAAAACTCCAGAACATTTGAATTTTTGATAAATAGCTTTCTCGTTTTGCTTCCTGTAAACAGGTTATCATTTCATCAAAAGAGATCTGGTAACTGTATTTGAGTGTTTCACTCCACCTAGCTCTTCTAAACGCGAGTATACATTTCTTACAGTTTAATAGGTCCAAAAAAATTCCTGTTGTCTGTCAAAAAAGTAAAAATAATTGAATCTTTATTCTTTTTTTTAAAATTCTTGGTCAAATCAGCATTTTACAGCATCTTTTATCTTACCTTTGCGCGTTGATATTAATTCTGCAAAAAAATGATCTTTTTAAACCAATGTCCATCTCGTTGGGCTGCGGATAGTAGTTGGTGCTAGAGCTCACACAGTCGTTAACTGGAAGTTCAGAAATTAATATAGAAAACGTTTTTTGTGTGTACTTAAGCACTAGATGTTTGGTGATCAGAAGAGAAAAGGATACCGTAATCAGACCCAATTTCAGAGGACAGCCTCGAGTTCAGATGAGTTGTCATTATTTCATCCCTGAATGTTCGCACATCTTCTGGATGTAAAATATCAAAACAATTCCTAAAACCATTCCAGCATGATGATAGCTTTGAATAATTCTGTAAGATGGTGTGTACTGACATGTCAGCTGCTAAAAACCATTAACCAAAATTTTGAACTTCATTCATCCTTCTTGTTTGTGGGAATCTGAACTTTCCAAATCAAACTTCAGTTCCAAAAAATGGGCAGTTCCTAGATCCTATTTGATATTGGATATGCCAAACTTTTAAATTTTTTTTTAAACCTATTTATCAAATCTTCCGCTGATATTCCTAAACACTTCGTGGCAGCATCAGAAACGTAAACAATGTTGGCTGTTTCGACATCGGCAACCATTAAGAAACCGTTGGTTGACTGCAATATCAATTTATTGGGCCAAAAAGCAATTTTATTTTCTAAAACTTGAGAAGGTTTAGTCACAAATTTTGAAGCTATGTTCAGTAACGGATAAGCACTTCCTTTCGCCAAAAAGAGCGCCTTTAAACCTAAAAAACTAAGATTTTTCATTATAAACATTTGTTTTTTATCAGTCAAGCAGAAAACTCAATATAATCAATGAGATTATTTTTATTATTGTAACGCTCATAAGTTGTCTGTATTTCCAACTAAGTGGTCAGAAATTGGAAAGTTACAATCATAAAAACTACAGATTTCTTGTAGGTAACCAGTATATTCACATGTAACTCACTTTTTCAATTAATACAATCAGCTCCGTAATCGGCAGAGTCTCACCACTAGCCCCACAATCTGCACTTCCATCATGATTCGATGCTACAATTTTTTACTATCCTCAGCTGCAGTTCTGCTCAAAATAAGTGGTTCCAATATGATACAGTAGATAGCAGAAAATGTCTTTTGAAAAAACTTCAATTTTACATTTACTGCGTGAAAAATTTACTTAATGATGCAATATGTTGCAGTGCAAGTCGTAAAACAGAAAGTTTGTCTAATTTTCTATTTGATGCTGCTGGAACTAAAGCGCTAAGTTCTCCTATCAACTCGTTCATACGATCACGACGCCGTTTCTCTATTTCTGAATGATTGCTTGTCGAAGCCGGAGGCGGAGCTGGAGATTGTTGTGAATCCGTTTCTGTCCAGCCTTCTCCAGCCCTAAAGAAAAAAATATCAGAATACCAATTTCAAAGGCAATTAAGAATATAATTGCTGTTGTAAAGTTTTACATGGTGTTCTTATTTTTATTGTCGCCTTTAGAGTTCTATTAACAATTAAAAGAATTTTGTAATCTTTGACCACCAACAACTACTATAACCACCTTGAAAATTGCCATTATTAAAAAAAATGTATATGAGAAGATTAAGCTAGAAGTGTCTCAGGACAGCCGATCAATTTCCCTGTTATTCACAATGATGTTTTTTGTGGTTGATTGAACCAAAGGTTAAAAATTTGGTGTTACAGTGCTGTTTTTTGTTTATATTTATATACGAAGAAGTACTGTATAAATGCTGGGGAAGACAGCAGGAGGCGATAAAGCAGCAGTTTCAAAAGCTAGACTATAAGATCAGCTTTACAGACCCACTTATACTGGTAGTGTTATATTTTGTCCAAAAAGTGAAACTTTAACTCAAACACTTTTATTTTCAAGTTGTTCATTTAAAACACTGAACACCGTTCACGCGAATTCAATCAAATAGATTGCCCCACCACAGAATTTGAAGAATAAAAGCAAAAAAGTGATCGAAAGCTATAAGCAGCATGCCAGTCGTCTTGCTTAAATAAAAAGGAAAAATAGCGCCTTTGTCAGTCGTGTATTCAGGTTCACAGTCT